GTTTTTATTGAGTTCGTGGAGTTTGGCTCCCCATTAGTTTCAGATAGGAATCCTTTAAAATTAAGTTTATGTGTTTCCGGTTGAAGCATCGCAAAAAACCCACCCCATGCCGCCAGAGCTAAGGCACGAGAGGATTCCGCCTGCCGTGGTCCTTCAACTGAGTACCGGTGAGGATGAGAGGTCGAGACCTGACTAACCTCTCCAAAGCATATCCGTGTTTTTAGTACCACCCACACCCCTCCGTAATTCTTTACATAATTTAATGGCGCCCAACGTGGGCGGCTTTCGGTTGATATTCAACAGTCGATATTTGTGCTCTTTTTATCGCCTTGAGTTGTGCATATGGCTACTAGCTCATTAGCGTATTATAGGATACAAAAAAAGTTTTCATAGTGTTGATCGTTAGCTGTCCAATACATTTTTTTTTGTTTTTGAGATTTTTAATAATTTTTCCTTTGCTTCGTTCCCGTATCCCACTTTCTGACGTTGTTTAGATTGGTTTAGTCTAACTTCCGCTTGTGGTAAGGCGGGAGGATATAGTTATGTTTGATAAGCCTACGACGCTGGTGATTCAGCATGGATACCATGCCGAGGAACTTGTCGGACTACCCTACCACTCCATGGAACCAAGGATAAAATATAGCATTTTAACATCCGCTATAAGCAATATTTAAACTCAAATCATTCTTGCTCCTTTGTTTTTTTGTGCTTGGGGAAAGATCATGACTCGGATTAAGACCAGGCTTAGAAATACTGTTCAAAACAATTACAGAATATTGCGTATTTGGCTGAGATCGGATACCAGTACTGATTGCCACTAGAATATATTTTTCTTTGCTTAGCTAGTCGAGTTTGGGAAATACCCCATATGTCATAAATATGGATCGGATTGCTATGGATATTGATTGTTGCGATGGCTAGCTCAAGCGGTTGTCTGGAACTTGGGAGTATGCTGCGACTGCGTACCCTTGCCGAGCCGCAAAAGTTATAAATCGTCAGCAGCCGATTGACTTAGTACCTTCCTTGTGTTTAGTTTCAATAGCCCATCTTATAAATACCTACTTCCCTTATGCAGATTGTGTCTTATTGGATCGATACCCTACTTTCGTTGTTGTCGTCAAGGTATGTCGAAACCAGAAAGAGATTATAAGCAAATAGCATGCCTATAGAACATAGTCCCCAACAGATGCAGGCGTTAAATATTACCGCTGAAAATCAGTGCGCTATATGCAGACAGGAAATAAACAACACACATCCATGCTTTTTATTAAATTGTAGACATGTTTTTCATAAACTTTGTTTAGAAGGTTGGTTGGAAGACCACAACCTATGTTATATTTGTAATCAAGTAATCAATCATCAAGAACTTAAAGTTGTTGTTGGAAACTGCTCCCCTCGGGCAAAGCAAAATGCACCCTCGGTCGGTCCAGGTGGTCCAAGAATAATGACTCGAAATTTGACGAAGGCGTTAAACCAAGCCGAAGCGTCACAGTCTGCCGATGTACAATAGCAACGCAATTCGGATGCCAGCGCTATGCAGTCGTCCGCACTGGATGCTAGCCATAGCACTAACCAAGCCGAAGCCCCACCTGACAGACAGACCGGTGGTAGAAGAAGAGGTAGATCAAATCGTACCGGAAATACCCGTCGAGATAACCAAGTAGATTATACCCGTATACAAGATATGATAGAACAAACAGTGACCCGAATTATGTCCTCTTTGAATATGAGCTCCGGCCCCAATCCCCGTCCTAGCTCTAGTCCTAGCAATGCACAAGGCGTATTAGCCGCAATACACGAAACTCCGTCGCCGATGGTATCCTCCATCTATACTCAGAAGACTGCCAACACCATGCAAAAGTGGAATCTCCAATTTGACGGGTCTGCTGATGGTTTAGGAGTCGAAGAATTTATTTATAGGGTCAAGTCTCTCACAGACGAAACACTAGATAGCTACTTTACTGGCATGTGCAAGCACATCCAACTATTGTTTGTAGGGAAAGCACGAGAGTGGTATTGGGGATATCACAAGCAAGTGGATCGCATCGTTTGTTCGGACATTTGTGCCTCGCTTAGGCAGCACTACAAAGACTACCGCTCAGACTTTATGAGTAGAGAGATGATCAGATCACGTAAACAAAAGCCCGATGAATCCTTTTCAACCTTTTATGATGCTGTTGCTTCTTTGGTGGATAAATATTCCGTCAAAGTTGAGGAAGAAGAACTTCTCGAAATCCTGAAAAATAATTTATTGCAGGAAACCCGTCAAAAGCATTTATATCAGCCTGTACATACAGTTGGTCATTTACGTCGTTTGGTGAAAATGGGTGAAAACTTGACCCAAGAACTCAGTTGCCGCGCGGAGAGCTTCAATAAATCGAAGCCAATTGCTAACCGTCGCCAAGTATATGCCCTTGACGAAGCTTGCTCCGACCTTGCGGAAGATAGACAAGCGGAAGTAGAGCTAGCCGCGCTTCACAGCCCGCAAGCGAAGCTTAAATGCTGAAACTGCGATGAGGTCGGTCATCTCTGGGAGAATTGTTTAGCTGATCGTGTATTTTTTGCTATGGATGTGGCGCTCTTAATATTTATAAGCCACAATGCCAAACTTGCATTCGGAAACAATCGGAAAACCGTCGTTCGGGTGCATCCGCCTCCAGCCGGATGCCGCCGAAAGCATAAGCCAAGCCGCCTATAATGTAACCCAGAACACACCGCCACCGGACTCTGAGTCAAAACAGGTGGTCGTCCATCAGTCTCTCCCACTTCGCTTTCGTCCTTATGATGAACGGCTACATAACTATAAAGAAGTAAGGAACCGAATATTTAGCGAAATCAATCCCAGATTGAGTAAACGTAGTCTAAGACTTCGATTATTTTATGAAAATGTCAAAAAAACAAAAAAACTGCTCGTTTCAACGATCTTTAGTAACCCAAGCGATA